CCACCTGGAGTACTGTGTTCAGATGTGGATCCCCCAAAATAACAAAGACCTGGACCTATTGGAGAGAGTCCAGAGGAGAGCCACGAAACTGGTCACAGGGCTGGAGCACCTCCCCTATGAGGACAGGCTGAGAGAGTTGGGGTTGTTCAGCCTGGAGAAAAGAAGGCTTCATGGAGATGTAACAGCAGCCTTCCAGTACCTGAAGGGGGCCTACAGGAGAGATGGGGAGGCACTCTTTATCAGGGAGCATAGTGAGAGGACAAGGGGTAACGGGTATAGGCTGAAAGAGGGTAGATTTAGACTAGATATTAGGAATACATTTACTGTGAGGGTGGCGAGACACTGGAACATGTTGCCCAGGGAAGCTGTGGATGCCCCATCCCTGGAGGTGTTCAAGGCCAGGCTGGATGAGGCTTTGAGCAACCTGGTCTAGTGGAGGGTGTCCCTGCCCATAGCAGGGGGATTGGGACTTGATGATCTTTAAGGCCCTTTCCAACCCTATCCATTCTATGATTCTATGATTAAAAACTGAAAAAAATTAGAGAAGAACTACACTGTATGCAGTGAGAACAAAGGTCAGTGGGAAACATGCCCACACGTGCCACAGTATAGACCCCAAATCACTAGGCATTAAGGACTCTGACAGTCCTTGCAGAATTAACTTGGAAGCTTCTCTTAGAGAAACTGATAAAGGCAAAGCATCTTCCAGCAATCACAATCTATAAGTTGAATACATATTCTTTACTGTCTTATCAAATCTCCTAAAGGAGGAATGTTGATTTCTTTTTATATACTGGACAAACATTAATTCAAAAAGTTAGAGAGCCTGTCCATGATAAATACGGTTGCGCACATCAAGGAGCGTGCTTTTCAGAAGATACAGCATCCTTTTCAACTCCTTCAGCCAGTGTTAAGATGCTTTCTTCATGAAGTACAAAGTTCCACCCACTGTGATTGAAGTCTTCTGTTCTCAGAAAACACAGTGCTGCATTTATGTCAATGGTGCTAGTAATGACACTGGCGAGTTCAGCACCAGTTTACTTTGTCATATGAGCCGTCCTGCATCACAGCAACAAGAATGTGCTCTTACCCATTTTCAAGTGATTTTGGAGTTTTGCTACTGATCTCAGGTGAGCTTTTCGTAAGTTATTCCAAAAGGAAAATTTTAAACCTTATATTTCACTATCTGCATACTTATAGAGAACAAGCACCATCTTAGGTAAGCTTTCTTCCCAGGCAGAGGAGTTACTCCTAGGATGCTAGGTCTTGATATATGTGTGCACCGCAAGACAGTCAAGACATGGAACATGAAAATTTCAATTATGGCATTCTCAGGAGGCTCACAAAAATTTATGGAGAACTGATGGTGGTCAAATGCCTCACACAAACTCTGAGTAAGCAGTCACTTGATTCTTTCAAGACAGTTATTTTAAGCAGACAGACCTGTAGCTTTGATATACTTTAGCCTGAACTAAGGAGAAGCAGCTGGATTCCACTTAGGATGACCTTATTCCTTACTCGCCCTCCCTCCCTCAAAGAAACAAGAGAAAAGCATATACTGCAAAAGAAATGGAGAAAGCCTAGACTCTCATTTAAGTTACACTGTATACAGGTACTGTGTCTTCTACACTCTGAAACGAGTGCTGAACCAGAACAGATTTTTTTTTTCAGAGGAATCAATGCCTTAAATGCTAAGTTGTCCACCATAAAATATTAATTCAGAGATGGCGGTGAAAAACCAAACCTTCTCCCTCTTACTGACTAAATTTTGGTGAACAAAGAGCACTGAGTAGTATGGAAACAACATTGCTGCATATGTGAAATACTGCATTTATCTGCATTTAAAAAAGAAACTGGGAAGGATTTAAGAATCATTACAATAATAGAGCACAGAAGCTTTTAAGATCTGTTGGCCTGAAAAAAAGTTCAAACTGCTGCCTGAAGAGCTTAAAAAGAGAGGATCAGAAAAAATCCCACATTCATATACATCAACACCGGTTCCATTATGATGTAGTTCCTCACTCTGGCATAAAGAAGCCAACTACAGCCTAGTGAGAGAAAACTAGAGTCACAAAGATAACCCTGAAAATAAGATGTGGATTTTTAAAAGCGATGATTAGACTCACAAAGGTGTGCATCAGTGGAACAAACATTTAAAGGCGGTATAACCAAGCTTTTACTGTCACCAACACAGAGCATATGCACTTCAGAGTGGAAGCATACACTTACTCCATCACATTTAAGTGAAAAACAGACTTTAATAGTTTCATGCATGTAAAGCCTCCAGTTTATCTAAACTACCTTATAAATATGTAACTGAGCCAAACTGAGAGGCCAGCCAGTTCTGAAGCGTCAGAAGCAGTATGATCAGAACCCAGATTCCTTCTCCATGCTCAGCTTAAGTCCAAAGACTGCTGCGCCTGCCTGTATTTCACTGTAGGTATATGGCTACAGCACCCCGCTATATATAGCTTATATCAAAGCTTATGTAACCAACATTCCAACTTTTCTGCTCCATGGATGATAGCGGAGGCAAAATGTCTCTTCTCTATTTTGGCCTCTTAATGCTTTCACAGTAGTACTATCCAAATAAAATTTATTTTTAAAATGTTTGATTCATCTCTGTATTCTTGTCTCCTACCACATGTCAACAGTTTATTTCCATCTTTACCTTAAGGCAAAACAACACAAGATTTGTAGCATTAAACCTTTTCATCAGCTAACCAGAAAAAACAGAGAGTTACATGTCATCTATGAACTTATGAGAAAAAAATTGAGGGGTTGAGGTTTTTTTTTTGGCCTGAAGTCACTAAAGAAAAAAAACATACCAAATTGTTGGAGGGAGTATACAGCATCCTGCATGTGGATCCAAAATCGGAGTTTTCCAAGGGATATTTTGTCATATGACACTGTAAGAGGTAGCTCTGTAGTTGAACGATTTATGACCTGTATTTCAAAAAGACATAGTTTCATTTTTAATAGCAGAAAAATTGCAACAATTATTTCCATTCATCTTTTCAAGATTGAGGGAAAGTGACTATATCACACTGTGATTTAATCGCACAATTTTAAGAGGTCAGTTAGTTTTTTGAAAGGGAATAAGATCTTAGACTTTTACACTATACTTCAAGTATTTGGGTTTTTTCCCCAGAAATGCCACATTAGCAGTTTGTTCTGTTCAAGTTCTTTCAGCAACCTCTCTGTTATTGTACACAAATGCCTCTGAGATATTTACATAAAGTTCCCTCTGCTGGTCTCAGCTCAAGTGAGAAGTGTGCTTAAGGTAACTCTCTTTTGACAGTTCTTCTCTGAATGTATATGCTAAGATTACCTGAGCTAGAAGATTAAAAAAAAAAGAAAAAAAATATATCCCAAAGGCCTCAGTCAGAACTTTAGTAAATTGAGGCTGGTTTTGAGAGAAATTAAAGTCACAATTCATACCAAAACAAAATGTGGGGAAGCAGGATGATGCTACTTGCTCAAACGAGTGAAAACACCACTGCTAAAGCTAAGCAAGCTACCCCACATGCAAACTCTGGTACATGGGGTGTCACACAAATCTTCCTGCTCCAAGAGAAATAAACTTCAGCTAATCCTACTCTATCATCTACACTTTAATTATGATGGGAACTACCAGGGCCCCCTTAAGCTGGAAAAAAGTCTTAACGTTGCCTCAGCTCCTTCTGCAAGTTAGTTATGATAGTTGACTGTCTCTCAAGTTTAAAACAAGGAAAAAAAAATTGTCCTCACAGATGTTAGAATTCTCTGTAGCTACCTACGTATAAGTTCAGGCTGTATGTTTTAAACTCACAAAGATAGTTCAAGATTACTGACAGGCAGGCACTCTGAATTGCAACAGCTCCAGATCTATTGCTTCCGGCTCCTAACTACTTCCCAACCACAATTCCCATCTCAGCACTGCTACTCTATACTGTCTCTGTTTCTACAGTAATGAGTTAGTTGACACCTAGCTGAGTGCATGGGCTTCTTCTGATTCTTATGTTACAGAACATGGTTTTAGCCCCCCAGGCTATCAGCCAGGCGTGAACTGGGGTTTACCTTCACCCTCCCATTCACACTTTCCTCCAGTGAGTACAAACAACTCTCAGTCTCACGGCCCTCCCAAGACCCTATAAGCTTTTCAGACAGTGGCAGAACATGCACACATGCAAGGGAGAGAAAGGGAAGCTGGGAAAGTTTTATAAATACAGCAGGGAGAAAGCTTGAGAAACTAGAACAATGCTAAGGATCTCGGAATGGTCTGAAAAAAAAAACCAAAACAGGGCGAAACTAATGTGGTTAGAGCCAGTGACAGAGAATGCTGGCGAGATTCTACAGCTGTTTACCAAAAGCTACTTAAACATCTTCCAGGCTTCTTCTCCTTTTAAAGGATGCCTGTAATCCCTCCATTCTGACACCAATTTCTCAGTCTATCAAAGATAGCACCAACATTTCTGGGAGAAAAGGAAAAGAAATTTTATCTGAGCAGGACAGAGAGAAAACAAAAATTTTGCAAATTCATGGGCAAGTGACATGCAGCAAGTACACTCCACACAGACAAAGCACTGCTGGGGAGTCAGGAGTAGCATAAGGAGAAAAGCGCATTGCGATACAAGCCAGAGATAGGAATTCTTCAGCACCAAAACCAAATTAAATGAACACATAATGATTAGAAGAATGAACTCTTTCTTAATGAACAATTAGAAGTCCACCAGTGCTGCCTCACAACCTAGTTGGGTGTGATGGTTGCTATGCCTTTGAAAACTAGAAAGTTACCAAACCTCCATGATACAACCTACTCTTGTAGTATGGCCTCAGAACATCACATATTACTTCTACCACCCTACTTTACCAGTACTATGAAACAGTGTGTAAACAAAGCAAGCAAGTTCAGCGGTATGAATTTTAATGTTTTCTCTCTATTAAATCAGAATCTTGTGCAATCCCCAAACCCTCAGCATTGGCAAGAACACTTAAGAACATGAGGAACACATAGTCTCCAGACTATAGTACATGCTGTAGAAAACTTACATCTTGGTCAAAATAATAGTCAGTTCAAAATCTACACAGCACAAGCAAGGAAAATGCATCTTCAGCCGCATTACTTCAGGTCAGGCATACCAAACAGACAGCGTCTATGCCCCTATTTACAGTCAATACAGCTTGCTCCACAAAAGCTGTATCACCTTCCTCACTTATTATTTCCTGCTCTTCACTTACTCCTTGTTATCTCACAGTACGCATACTATTAGACCAGTGTTTCTGCAGGGCTTGAGAGCAGTCTGGCAAGTAACTACTGAGAAGTAATGTAAGCCAGAGCTGAAGAGGAAGTTTGCAGCAGTTTTGATGGAATAGTCTTTGCAGCACTTCTAGACAAAACTATCTGCTACCAAGATTTTTAACAAATGCTCAGGAGTTTATTCTGCTGAACAAGCTTGGGGGGAGGGGGAGACAAGTTCTTAAAGAAGATTCTCCCCAACACTAAGTAACAAAATTCTTTGTCTGAGCTAAAGTTAATGAATTGGAAAGACAATTTAGAAGGTCTATGGAAAGCTTACATCTACCAAGCCTTTCATGTAGAAGATGCTGAATCCAGACATACTTGTTCAAAAGTTTTGAGACAGTCACCAAGACTTTTGCTCTTAAAAACTCCAATTGCTAAATTCCAGTCAGTGCAACTGAAAAGAACTGCAGGGCTTAACTAAGAGCTGCTAAGATGAACATAGTTTAGATGCAAGGGACTGCACATGTAATTTGTAATAAAGGAACTGCATTGACTTCCCACAAGAGCTAGGCAAAAACTGAATACAGAAAACTCTGTTTAAATGCATGAAAACACTTTTTTTTTAACTGCAGGGGTGACTGAACACTAGAACAGGTTGCCCAGAGAGGCTATGGCGTCTCCAACCTTGGATATATCCAAAACCCAACCAGAGAAGGCTCGAAGCAACCCGCTCCAGGTGACCACTCCAAGCGGGGGTGTTACTCTAGGAACCTCCAGAGATCTCATCCAAACTCATCCTTCTGTAATTCCATTATTGAAGTTTCTAAGCCCTGCTTTAAGTGCACAAAATCCCTGGAGGCACTGTAACACCAAACTTTCAGGTGCCCAAGTTACTCTAACATGACAGAGTGAATTTTTTGGAGATAAGAGAATAGTTACCGATCTATCTCACTGTAGCTCCAGTATCAGCTGTGTTCAGTACACTCATTTCCCTAGAAGATATCAGAGGCAGCTCTGGGATGCTAACACAACTTCACCAGCTTAGGGAGTTAAATTGCTCATGAGACTGCTCCCACCACAGCTGCTGCTGTAGTTAAGTCCTCCTTATCCACTGAAAAGGGAGAATCAATGGAACCCAAGTATCTTTTGGTGGAACAGAAGGGACTACTTGGCAGGTATTTCTGTCAGAGGGGAGTCTCAAAACCCAGATCCAGCTTCTGCAGTTACCACAGTTGACCACATGAAGTTAAACAGTCATTGACAGAGTCCTTTTTGGAATTTATACTTCTTCATTACAGTAAACAACCTATGACAAAATCTTAATTAAAAACAACATTGAAGATTACTTTAAAACTGTTAAATGTAGTTAAAGGTTTTCTATTACTCACCATCAAATCTTTCACTCTGTTGCTTAGCTGATCAATAAATAATATTGGAAGGTAATGCACTGTCTTCCCCAACTGAACCCTAGGATGTTTAAACATGGATTTTATGACTCTAGTGATCCAAAAAGAAAACTACTTTTATTCAAATTAGCACTCATTCATCACTTTCAGATCTACCCATGTGGATATTTCCTACTGTCTTTTCAGGCACATTTTTCTTTAACACACAGCAAGAAAGAAGCAACTAGCCTAGAGTCTTTCATTGAGAGGTGTCTGTACAAAAAAATCAGGAATGTCATATTTCTCTTTTCAGTTTTTTTTTTAGTTTTCTGTAGAAAGACAGAATAAGCAAAAAAAAAGAAGACATGAAATCAGTTGTGATGATGCTGAAGCTGTTGCATGAGCAAGGGTAAAGGAAATTAAGAGGTTTGTTGAAGAGAAACGTGCTGAAGTTTACTAACATATATTTGTATCCTTTGTCTCAAGTATCCCTCTCCTACTGCAACAATGACAACTCTCCACCATCTCCCCAACTCCTCTCCACCCACAAAGACATTGTCATGTCAGCAACAGCACATGCTCTAGCTAGCATGGGACTATGAACACGATGGCTGGTATGCACACTGGAAGGCTAGATACTACTGGAAGGAGTGCACAAGGAGCAGAAATCTTCTCTGCCTTCTCCTCACAGAAGTACTCCTTTGGATTGCTCTACCACCTCATCAGCCTGCATCAAACCAACAGAAACTTACCAGCCTTTGAGTCCTCTACAAAATTGACCGCTGGAATTATATTTAGCAAATTATGACCTATACACAATTGCTTCGTCAGTATCTTAGAAAAGTATTTAGCCCAATGCCCTAAGAGAGACAAATTTATGAAGCTCTTTACTAGAAAGGCAGTTATCTACACTATCATGTTCTCCGTAAACGTCACGGAACTAGTCAGCATGGAACTGAGCTTTTTAAGGCCTGAAAGTTGAATTTTAGTTGTTGACAAAAGAAAGAAGCCTCTATGCATGCTAAGAAAGGCTGCATATTACATACACAACGGGCAACAGCAACACAGAAAAGTAATAAATCAAGGCTCAGAAATCCTGCTCATTTATTTAACTGAAGTTTAGATTCTATATAATAACAACTACCATTAAAGCTACTGCTAGTGGAAGTGCAGCAGGCTATTTCATATCCAAACTATTTCCTGTATAACGCAGTGACAGAACAGCCCTGACGCATACCTAAACATGACCAGAAAATATAGCCTTGTTCATCAACCTCAGTCCAACCCCTTCTTGTTATGGACCTATCTTATGAGTCGTTAAGTTTATCTGTTCTGGCTGGGAAGCTAGCCCAGAACCCCAGGGCCTGCTGATGAAGCAACTACTTCTGGATTTAACAGGATACTTGTAGAGAAAGGCATCAACATACAGCAGCACAAGCCAATACAGCACTATTTATACGGTTAACACTGGAAGTAATTTAACCAAGCTGTGAACAGAAGCTACTGCATTTAGAGACCTAAAAACCTATCCCTGCTTTTTAATATTTACTTGAGAAAATGACATAATGGGGGAAAACACACTGTCAAAGTAAAATAAAGCCAATCATAAAGGGAGAAAAAAAGATGTCATAGGAGACCAGCTGTGCCTCTTAAGCACTTGTAGTTTGTACACATAATTTGCAGATGAAGGATAACTAGAAAGGTCAAGGGACAGTAATTGCTTTAGAGGCCAGAAGTATGATTTGAGAACAAGGGGGTATGAAGTCTGCTGTAGCATTTTACTTGTGTCTTTGTAGTTTTCCTTTATCTTACTATGATAACTCCATTAAAAAAAAACAGTATCCTAAAATTTGAGCTACCCAGAAATAAGATACAAGTAAGGTTTTCTAGTATGTAATATCTTACTAATTGTCACTACTAAAATGCAAGGATTAAGAGTATCTTGTCTCCTAAGCTCTTATTTAAACATAGAATGCTGAAGGAGGCCAGGGAGGATTTTAGAAGAAATGTACACTAAGTTTATAATAACAAATCTAGCAAAATGAAACCATTGACTTACATCTTCATGTAACGGTGAACATCAGCAGGGAGGGATGATCCATCAAACACAAAGTCTTCCACCATGATATTTAAGGTTAATCTTGACCTCCAGTGAGAGACAGGTTCATCTAGAGCACTGGTCTGTTTTTCTGCTTCAATTTGCTTTAAAAATACAATAAACATAGATACTGCTAAACAATACATAATTTTGAATAGGATAATACTCGGACTCACAGAAACTATAGTAATTAACTATATTGCAAAACAGAAGCCCACTGAGAAACACTTTATCCTAATTTTGACCAGACCAAGTATCTTGCTCAAATATGACAGAACGGACTGTAAAGGCCCACCATAATCTGACACTGAAAAACTTCAGTTCCCATTCACAGCCTTGCTCATCAAGAATGAATAATCAGCTAATCAATCTTAATACCTTAGGAATCTGGACACTAGTCAGAAAAAGTCACTTGAAAATAAGGACTGTAGAATAGCCAGATTTTACTTCAAAACAGTCAAAAGGTTGTGGATGATGAACTGTACTAATTTGGGGGAGTAAAAAGATCAGATCGTTTGTTTTGAACTTCTGAGCTTCCAAACACTCTGTAAAGCAGTGCTGAAACCGAGTATCACCTTAGCTTTCAGTAGATGCTTATACCCAGGGCATTCTACTTGCTTTTCTTTGGATGAACACCACCTGTTCTGACTTTTAGTGTCGGACTCTACCCTCAATCATTTTCAACTTTATCCTGACAGGACTTAGAAACAGCACTGCTAGCTACAGATATATTTCTGATTCCAAAGAAGAACAGAGTGAAATTCTCAAACTTCACTTGAATATGAGGCATCTCAGCCATTCACAAGTATTTCATTAAATTACACTGTATTTCTCACCTCCCCCAGTGAGTAACTGTAGCATTTGCCAAAGGATACTATCTTATTCTCTTGAATTGAAATGGAAAGTAAGAACATCCTAAAAGAAAATAAGGAATTTGACATTGATTGTTCACCAATGTCAAAATCAAGTTCCTATCTCTGTTTTACAACAGTAAAGCATATAACTTCACATGACTCCAATTTGTATGGTTACAAAGCAGCATCATGCTGATACAGAATATACTATTTCTACCAAAAGCAATGAATCCTTAAAGAACCAACTACTGTTAACTAGAAAAGTGTTTTATTAGCAACTGGTGTTTTAGAGGGCTCTACCTCTGCTGTGCTAAGTGGTCTACTATTAGTGTGCAAGCTGACAATAAAGAAGGGTTTTGATTATTTTTTTCCTAATACCATCATTAGTGTGAAGATGCAAGCACAGCAGATGCTAAGGCTAAAAGTGTTAGCACTAAAATAAATTACTTTTTTTGCGGTTGTTCATCTATAGATGGAAAAACCACCTACCTGTGTGGTCGATTCTCCAGTGAGCAAATTAATCTCCTCTGGTTTAGGGACCATGTACATGGTGAGAGGGCTTACTATATGCACCTGCTTACTGTCATGCCAAGGCAAAATGCCAGCATGATGAAGAAATATATATGCATATAATGTGCCATTATTTCGGGTTTTCTTTGGTACAGAGACATTCACTGTCCTAAAATACAAAATAAACATATTATGAGATGACAGAGCACATGCTGAAAAATTTAGCTATTACATGTAAGGATCATTGAAGATGTTCTGGAAGCAAGCAAAAAAAGGTTGGGGACATTAAAAAAAAAAAAAAAAAAGATATTTAGGTTGCCTGGCACAGCACAATTAGTTCTGGCTAATACGTTCCAATGAGCCGTGGCTGGATAGCATCAATTTATACACTCCAGTATGTACCATAATGTTGACATTTCCAAAGTTTCACTATCATCTTAAGATACTTTAATCTTTGTCCAATTCATCCTTTATTACCCTAGATAACACAGGACTGCATCATCAGTTTTTTGTTGTTTTCCCCTGCTGATAAGGTCAAGGGGCCAAAATTATCACAGCACTTGGAGAAAATAGTCTTCCATGTGCTGAATACATATCACAGAATGCATACGCTATAAAAAGTTTAAAAAGAAAATCACCAAGTTTTGCCAAGCATGTTGCATTAGCAAAATACCTTCTCAGCTATAGCATGCCAAAGCACAGAACTCTAGACAGGAGCCCCAAACCATGAAGTCACTCCCCTTGCAGCAGCCAAGAAATCACCCCACTTGCAGCCTTGCATAATGCCTCCTCTATCCCTGTAAATTTGTTCAGGTTATTTTTCTCTGAATACTTTCAATAGCTTAGCATGCTGTGTCAGTAAAATAATTATTGTATTTTCAAGTCTGTCAACGATGAAGTTTAATACGACCTAAACTGCAGACCAAGGCATTCTTTAATTACAGGAAACGTAGAACATTAAAGAACCTGAAAGACTCTGTGACAAGACAGTCAAGAACAAGGTGACTATTTTAAACACAAAAAGTGAGGCAGCAAATATGAAGCACAAGACAAGTAGTTCTTATCATTTATTGTGAAGAGGCATACACAGAGTGCAATGTTATATTCAAAAATTTGTCTAAGAGCACAATCTGATTCCATCTTAGCACCAACATCCCTTCAGAAGATCTTGAAACCCTGAACTACAGAAAAAGAAATTTACTTTTACAATTATTAGCATTTAAACAATTACAGAAAAACATGTTCCTAAAACACAAGAGAATACAGCTTGACTTCCAAGTTCTATTCCAGGTCTGAAGCCACAGCTATGAAGAACATCATGCATCTAGTAGGCTGGCTACACATGTTACTAGAGGAAAGTCTCGAGCATTTCCAGGCACTCTGACTGGGATTTTCACAATGGAAAGTAATTTCTACTATTATAAGCAAAGCACAATTTTGTAAAACATTTGTCTGTGTGTCTGAAACCAGTATGCTGATCCAAACTAACCAATACTTTAATTTAGCACCTCATACGTACATTACGGATCTAGCACAGCTAGTGAGATGAATGTTTCGAGTGGAATCTGAAAGTTATGGCAGACAATATAGGACAGCATTCAAGATTTGTAAAACCTATACAAGAAAAACAAGCATTTCTTTATTTACTGGTATAGCCCTGTTTTGCAAGCTTTGTTTCTTGCAAGTATGAAATGATTTTCAGTGTAAGAAAAGTTTGTCCAAGAGCCTGTTCCTCAGCGCCAGGTGAACAAGTCTACTCTTTCAACACAGCTATCATGAACAGTCTACCTTACTTCATACATAACTTCCATGGGTGTAACTACCAGCTTAGATGCAGACTTCAGAACTAAACAAAGAACAAGTAGTTCAGGTACGTACCTTTCAAATTTGGAGTCAATGTCAAAATCCTCCACATTCAAAACCAGATCTATATTACTCTCAGCACCAATGTTTGACCGTGTGGTAGTATATACGCTTAACTGAAATCAAAACACAGCACAAAGAAATCAGAGCACAGAAATATTAAATTCATGCATCAGGACACGTAAAGAGCTGCCTATGAAATACAGAGGATGAACTTCACCAATTTCCCCAGTCACACTGATGGCTCTACACACTGTGAAAGAAAATACTCAAAAAAAAAATCTAGAACGGCTTTTAGCGATCCCTTCCCTCCTTTGGGGGCAGAAAGACACTGTAACACAGCCTCCTAACACAGTTTGATAGGATGACCCGTTCTTGGAGTTGAAGTCAAAGATGTCTGAGAAAGTTGAGCCATTTCTCCAGTACGGCTGCTCTATGTAGCGCTGCGTTCCACCAAATACACGAAATCAGAAAATAAAACACGCTTCCGTCCTGCCCGAGCCTC